TCATTTTTGATACCACACCTTTTCCACGAGCGAATGCAGCTGCTCGCGCTAAAATGTCTTATAGACCTTACAGTCATATAATTGCAAAGTTTTCTGTTCTGAATGATCTGGACGGATCTGCGTGATCATGGGCAAACCTTCTCAGGATGAAAAGCTCCTCGAGGTCATGTTCGAGCCGATTCCTAATCAGTTCCCTACAGCGCGTCGGGTCGTGACTCTGTTACGTCCATTAATACCACGCTGATGCTCAACCGTAATTACGATAATATCCTAACTTTAGGTCAGTAGGAGTGGCACTTAGCTTCGTCAATTATAGTTGTGTATACAGCTCCAAAACAGAGATATCTGCACTGGTCGCAATACGTTGACAAAGCTTTCGTACGTTTGCAATAAGTATAGTCAAAGATGACCTCAACGAATCTGTACATGCGCACTTATTAAACAAACGACTATGCATAGACCTACGGGTGCATATTTTTTATGTAATGGGAATCCAGTTTATCACAGAAGTTACTATTATTACTATAATAGAAAGTGACGCTACGCATCGGAAATAAAAAGTCATATTGCAGCCATCGCTTATACATCTCGTTCTCTGCTTAACTATTCATGTTCCGGCAACAGAAGCGCAAAAGTATTTTGTGCCCCCCGACCAGCTTCAAAGGTTTTGTACATAGCCATTGTTGATTACGCCCTTGGGTACAGCAGATATGGGTTTGAGACCCGGATCGCATCTGCGTCCAACTAAGCCGTGGAAAAGACGAGGGCCAGATTTGAACAGTGTAAAACACGTAAAACCCTCATTCCTTCTTACCTCCAAGGCCTCTTTCCATAAACTTTTTCACAGTATACGTTTAATTTGACATGCGCATTAAAAATAGACTTATCAGTAACTTACAAGCCGGATACTTTTTCCATATCTTATCGTAAGTCATACGTGCTTCGGCACTTCGACAAACGATGGTACATCGACCGGGTAAACGCAGTTTGACAAGCAATTATCACTGTTTTGCATGTTATGTCAAAGTGTTTCATTGTAAAGGATACAGCATCGTGTGTATCGAACGAGCCATATCTATATACTCGTAGTGCAGAATTAGCTGAGATCCGAAGCCGTGGAACTGTCAAATAGCACGAAAGTTAGCTTAAGACTCTTAGATATGCTGAAGCGACGATCTAGCGGCGGGAAATACGTGATCGGTAAAAGGAGACGCGTGGATTTATCGCCTATTGCTGCTTATTGGCAGAAAGTCTCAGAACTCATGACCGTCTCAATTGAGATACAATTGCTTTCACGTCTATTATCACGTAGCCACTTGTGTGCGTTCTGTTAGCATGGTCGACTATGGACAAGTTCTCTTGTAAGCAAACACTTAACACGATCATTGATCTAGTACAAGATCCAGACTCGAGTACGGTTTTGATTTACGTACATGAAACGGAAACATAACAGTTAGAATGCAATCGGTTGTTCTTGGAGGCACAGGCTTCAAGCACAATCAAATTCCCTTCTCAAGTTTGAAATAAAGGCTTCTTCTGTCAAGTAGAATTAAAAATCGCTTCCTTTCATCCAAGCGATATTTATGTTAGCTCAAATACAATGGCTATGAATGCGACTACGAAATCAACGCAGTTGCACTTTAAGGCCAGAATATCGCCCTTTACAAGACGATGAAGTTTGAAATGGCAACGTTGTAAGTGCGTACATCTTTCGCACCCCTCTGTCCGAGCTGACTGGCAAAGGCAAATCATACATTGTCGGCCCCTTTCTCCTTGACAGCGTTTCTCTCGGGCGGTAGCAGACGGCGGCGTCTTTCTAAGCGGAGTTTCTTAGGGATGTTAGTTTGGTAAATTTCCCTGAGAGCTCTTCACTTTAATGGGTAGCCGCTGCAGCTAAAACCCAAAACGTAAAGAAGATATTAGGGGGCTGTCGACGAGTGTCGGGTCGTAGAAGAAAATTCAAATGCGACCCAAATGCGAGGCTAGTTCGCCCTAAGAACGCACGCGCACAACAGCGCGTAGCGCCTTAGTCCCGTGCCGAGTGACCTGCGTTGCCATTTTACTGTGTCGCCTGTATCAGGCGCATAGAGGGACGGCAGATCGTTATCCTGCAGCTAACTGCGACCCAGTAAGCGAGTTTGCCAAAATAAATAAATAGTCAGTGAAAACGAAAGATCAGCCTTTCGTTTAAACAGACGTACACTCGCGTAAAGATACTCAGTCGCACACAGTTATATACCCGAACAAATTGATTGAGTAGTCGGCCGCTAATTACAGGCCGTGGTGCGTTAAGGTGCGCGGGGGAATAGCTTTTAGCTAATAGGCCCTGGTGCTCCCAAAGATGTTGCATCGGAGGGGAGACTGGCATTGTGCGACAAGCAACGACAGAACGAACTCGCCGTTCCTTTCTACTGGTATTTCACTCCATGGCTGGCTCCATTCAACTAGCGGTTATTTTGTTGTCTAGAATGGTATATCGAACCTCCCCCTCAGAGGAGCTCGAAGTTGCATTAGCAGTAGTGGCAGCGGCGGCCGTTGCCCCTCGTATATCAGCATTAGCTGTATGCAGTGAGCTGAAAGTAGTTTGGGCCATGAGCAACATTGTCAACTCTGATAACGACGTGTTTAATTTCAATTACAGACGATCGCATGCCGCTACCAGACATGCTATAAGGCTACGAGAAATAGGACGAATACGAGCGAAGTGGTGGGATATTGATACGAGACAATGTCCAAGTCCAGGCAACAATCACCCTATTTAGGGACGGTAGCATAGCCATTGGGATCCTCTTCTTGTTCCTCTCTCAAAGCACAACGACATTCTGTAAAACACGTAAAGCTGACACTGCGCCAGAGCGAATACAAAGGTCCAGTATATGTATTCTACCTAAAACAAATGCGACTACCTTTTATGGAAGGTCGCTCATTTTAGTAACAGAATAGCCCGAATGATCCTGAACTGCCAATCGTTGCTATGAAAACATCTTAACATTATTCGATTATGTGATCTGCATTGCGTAACAAATAGAATCTTGTTGCTAACGAAGGATACGCCAATAGTACGAACACCGCAATACCGATGTGGGGTAGGATCAAATACTTGGATATTTTTCTGAAAAACAACTTAAAGCATTTGAGATATTTTCTGCGATAGATCTGCGGGATTCTACAAGTACATTGTATCTTATGAACGTATAGACGTTCATTTTGTGGCAACGAATTGATAAAACAGCTTAAAATAATTGAGAAATCGAGTCAAAGTTAGCGGCTAGCTTTTTAGCGGGGTAGTTGAGTCTGCCAACCTCCTTTTTAAGGGGGTGATGCGAATCTTAGTCATAACAAAGCGAGAAGCGAAAGACAAAACAAATCTCGATCGCAGGAGATACGGGAACGTTATTGAACAAACTGTAGACCTTAAAATTACTAAAGGTATTGGCAATCTGCTAGTTCTCGACTTCGATTTTTAAAAATGCCCGCTTTTGCCCTAAAAATGTTTGCCTGTTATTATCCTGCTGAAGTTCTTAATGTAACCTCTTTCCTCAAGAACGGCCAATGTTCATTGTGATATGCTTTTCCGCGTGACCGTATCGATTCCAGTGGTTGGCTGCGGTATTAGTATTACGCGGTTACTAGTACCCTTTCGATATGCCTACTTATTATTGAAGAATATATACTGTAGACTGAAAATAGACTGTAGAAGAAACATACTGAATCATTCGAAAAACAGACGCAGCAAAAGGCATTATTATACCGATTTAGATTTACAATATAGACCTCTTTCTGGGGTGCAGTGAACGGTAAGATTCTATAAACGGCTAATCTAATAGGATAGCTAGCTTCCTATAAGCTTTCAGTGTGTAAGGGCTATTTTTAAAATTGATAATCCTTTTGGTAATCCTTCAAAAAGCTCGCCGAACTTATGAGAGAGAACATATCATTTCTGAAACGGGCATTCATTAGTTCCCGCTTGATTTCGGTGACGCTGCCCTTCAGATTGAACACATAAACGAATGTCTCCTGAGACGCAATTGCATATTAAAGTTGGGTGTGGCCAATAAGATTTAGCTGTCTTCCAGGTAATCCTCCCAATAGCGGTGTGTAAATCTTTCTCGCCCATTCTATTGCTTCGAAATCAATTAAAGTCACATGAATATTTCATACCACATGGGCTAAAGAAGGACAGGGATGCCTGTTCTATAAGGAAGTCACAGAGACTGAATATTATCACCCCAACTTGGTCCACTATATGAATGTGTTATTTTACGACCAAAGAAAAAGCCCAGAGTTTGCAAACGTTCCCATTCCCTTGATTTTTAGTACAGGGCAAATAGACAGAGCGAGAGAAAGAGAGAGATAATGGCCTTGCGGTAGGAGAAGCAGACTCGAAGTAGCTAAAATGGTGATTTGGTGTACGAGTAAGTAAGCAGGCGACTTACTGTTGTCCCAATCGTGAAGAGACCTATTGCGCCAGTTCTTTTCCTACTAAAAAATCTGCCCTAATGACAGGGTGACAGAAAGGCCAGCGAGACAAGGCTTTGGCTGCTTCATAGATTGATTCAGTATATATATGGTTTAATAATGTGGTTAATGTTCAATGCGACAGGTTCACACTAATAAGAATTAGGATTCAGAAGTTCTCATTCCTATTTCGAACCGTTGTTGAATCTTACGAGAATGCTGACGGCAACTGTGCACCAACTCTACCTGTAAATAAATAATCCAAATATAAACGATTCTTCTATCCCTACTAGTGCAACGTACCGCAAGTGGTAAATAACTCTTAGAGCTTGTCGTGATTTGCCGATATCTATTGCCACCGACTCCAAAATTGTATGTTGGTCAGTATTTTTTTCTTGTTCCACTGGACTATGGATCCATCTGGGTTGATACACGCAAAAAACGGTAGCGTGAAGCCATATTAATCCATAAACATTTCATTCCATTTTTTAGTGGAAATTGATTATCACTATTTATTTATTCATCTTTTTTACCGTACTCACCTCTGGCATTGCCCGAAGCTAGCCAGCCGTCCTGGTAGTAGTTGAGACGGTTAAGCCGCCAGCCGTCATCTTCAGGCAGTTCGTCGGGCACCTTGCCCATCCACGATAATGCCTGCACCGTCGAGTCAGCACGAGTACATGCGCTTCGCTCGAAGTGCAAATGCATCCTGAGCAGCTAGAGATGATAGATCAGATCTATGGGAAGATAGATGTATATGTACGTAGATATATGGATAACAGGTACAGGTGTCCTGGTTAGCTAGCCCGCGGGTATTCTTCACAGATTTACAAAGCCACTTGTTATCTATTATAAATGACCCACCGACGCAGACGCAGGCGCAACCACAGCTGGTGTCATTTCCGTCCGTCCACTTAATCACAAAACACTCTTAAATACAAGCAGGATTAAACAGAAAAATCTATTGCGGCACGAAAAAGACGTAGGATTGTTGTTGTTGTTGTCGTTTTCAAGTAGTACGAGGATCCTTTTTGGCCGAACAAGTTTAGTTCACGTTTGGCTACCACGCGTTTATATGTATTCTCTTTAGTTGTTTGCTCTATTTCGATGGTTCTGACCTGGACCTGCCCTCTGCGAGGCAGGCACTACTACACAAAGGTGTTTGTTATGGTTCATTGTATAGTAGCTGGTAACGTCGCGACCACTCAAACTATTAAAAACCTGTATATTAGGACGAAAGGGTGAAGTAGTCTCGTAGAAAAGCCCTGATGAGGGCTTTTTCAAGGCTTTCTGTAGATTACCATTAGTGAAGGACATTGGTTTCTCAGCTGAGAACTGACCCTGAGACGTCGAAGTCGGCAAAGCAGAGGGCCGTTTAAATTCCGTCGATGGTACTGCCGATGTTATTTTCGTTGAGCGTATAACCGCTGCTATGATTTTCTTAATTTTATTTTATTTCGGAAGCTTCCGTTAATTCACGCGTTTTTATTATTGTTGTTGTACATACTTTTCTTGTTGGATACTTGTAGTAGTGAAAGAACCCTTATGTCCTCAATGTTTACGATGACATGGTTAATATAGCACAGATAAATACGTATCGATGTTTTGTTTACGGCCGTTATCTCTAGCTGGAAACTAACTGGTGCCTGTGACGCTACTAAGTTCTAGAGCCAGAATTTCATTTTAATTCTAGGTGAGAATGTGGTCCTGGTCGTCAACGTTCACTCCGACATTATCGCTTCTGCAATGCCATGCACGAGCAGCTGATCCAGCGGTAGCAGTTACGATACCTATTAATCCGATCAGTCACTTCAGACAATCAATCAATACAATTTAATCGAATCGCTCGCACACAATCAACCACATAAATTCATCCACCCGTTAGTCGGAAGAAAACGAAAAGATCCGGTCAGAATAAGAGGATGGCACTACGTACACCTGATACTATTATTATTATTATTATCAGGCTAGAAGACACACTACGTTGGCACCGCTCTTTTCGGCTAGCTCACAGTAATGCTCGAACGGGGTAAACGACAGACGACAAAAACGTTTATGCTTACGGGAACACGAACGTTGTTGACTAGGATCGTACTATTTGAGCAATTGATATTCCATTGCTCGCACCGCTTCTCAAGTTCCCTCACAGACGTTATTTTATTCGTTCATGTTTTTTTACTGTGTCATACTGTATGCTAGACACGTTCTAACACAAACAGCATAACTATCACAGTATGACTATCAATATCGGACTGATGTGACGAGGCGGACGATGACGGCAGCCGTATAGTGATAGCTACTACAATAAAGTTCTGTTACTAAAAAATGCTTTCTATCCTTTGAGCGATTTTCAGCATTACTGTTACCTTACTTATACTACCAATGCTGTTTGCACTGTGACACATTAACTGCTGCTGTTTTATGGGAGGTAAATCGCGCGTGTTCAAGCGGCGCGTGCATCGAAACTGGAGCCGACAGACGACGACAGCGGACAAGGCGACTAGTGATCCCACAGTGATCCCCTTTCCATCCCCGCAGCATGCCGACGTATGTCGTCACAATCGCTCTTCCTGCACGTAAGAAAAACAGCGCACGACACGCATTCCGTGAAACAAACATCACCTAATTAGATTTCGACAGAACATTAGCACCTTATCACTCGAATGGCTGTTCAATCGAACACACGAAAAAGAAGGCGAATTCTGAACATTCGCGGCAATAACGGCAGCGGGGGCAGCCGTCAGGCCACGTCAGCCAGCCGCACACCCGTGTACCTTATCCGCTCCCGTGTTCGGCAATGGTCACGCGGTTCATGTCTGCGGACTGGTCAGCCACCATTGCTACGGTAGCTTCCTTTGGAACTATACGCGAATCCTCTGGGTTATACGATTTCTCCGTATGGCCCCCACACACTCTTACGTTACACAACGTTAACAGGCGCTCCACTGACGGCTTGCTTGTTTTGATTGCCGTCAGCCAGTTGCGCTGACGTCGCGAAGGTTCGGCTGTTCGGGCTCATGGCTGCAGCGACAGCAGCGAATTTGACTGCAGGAACAGTTTGCTGCCTCAGCTCGCGACGACAGCTGCCTGATAACAGCAAGTTCGAGGTGTCATGGTCGTTTTGCAGATCGTCGTCGCCGTCAACGATGGTAGTGGCACCCTTTGATGCAGACGACGATGCTATGTTAGTAGTCGCGCTTCCGTATTCCGGCTGGTGATTGTAGTCGCGCTGATACTAAGCAAGCATCCAACGAAACGACGAACGTTGTCCGTCCACTGTCGAGCAGAGACAACGAAGGCACTCGGCTTTCCGCCAGACCTCCCCTCACTGCCAGACCTCTCCCCCGGTCTTGGCAGAGCCAACAAAACGACCCGAGCGGGGCTCTGAGCTCCGACCAACGACAACGACGATCGCGACGAGGAGGAAACTTCTGAGAGGGCGGCAGAGGTCGGGGGGCGAAAGGTGGACGACATAGGAGCTCGAGGAGGAGAGCAGAAAGAAACAAGCCCTCAAAACATTCCCATTGATCCTCTACCATCTCCACCTCTAATTTTAGTTTTACCAACTTGCATCTGCTTCAGTAGTATCCTCCCCCCCGCCCCCCCGCCTAAGGGACAAACAAACAGGCAACCACATACAGAGACCGCCAGGCTCTGCCCCTCGTGTCAACACAAACGCCCGTACAGCATATCTACCCACAACTATTCCCCGCTTGGTGGCCTATTACATTCCAGAAAGTCTGGAAGCAGTTGTTGACTAGGCCGGTGACATTTACAGCGTTGCAACGTAAATTACATGCCAGAATATCCAGAGATCATCAAGAACAATATCTAACATTAATGTTAATGTAGATAAAGATTCACAGGTTTGTGTGTATCACATACGCATATACATATACGTTGTCCATTTTTTTACTGCAGTTATTTGTGAGAGATAAGCTTTCTAAATGCAATACTACTTTTCGAATTTCTCACCGACGATTTGGTGCCGTTACTGTAGATAAGGTTTTTTTTAAATGTGATTTCTCACGATTTCCTATCGAAACTAAGAGAGGCTGGCCTTGAAAAAAATTTTTGTCCGCCAACTTCTTGATGCTTACGTCTTGGTCTTCCCATAGTACCGTCAAGACCGTCAAGACAGAGTAGGCCACTAACTATAAGCACGGAACACATAATACAGTATTGCTAAGTTTAGTAATTACAATTTTAACCATCTAGTTTACATGTTCCTTGAAAGGCATGGAAACGCCGGTTGATATTAGGCTTGTCGCGTACCGTTCCACTTATCCTATTGAGCTAAAGTTGAATATTATATATTCTTTAGCTCCCGGCGATTTCAAACGCTGAGTCTACGAGCATTACCGCACTGTTACTTTGATAAAAACTCAATTCAGTAAGTACGATTTGCATTACGTACAACGCGAGTGTAGATCTTCATATATATTGCGATAAGTTGTAATAAAGTAAAAATAAAGTATAGCTTATTATATTCCATGTCCTGGTGGTCACAATTGTAAGTGTAGTCTATAACGACTCTTTACATTGTTCTTTGCCCCCCAAATGATCATGAACAGCTAGCGCTAGACAATGTTCAACCTGCAAAAGGGTTTACCTTTTATTATGGTCTTTGAGGTGTTGTCGCCTGAACTTCGGTCATGCAACATCTGCGAGACATCGAATAAGACTCAAAATGAAGAACCATTCGTGACGTGGTCGATAGCGTCTGCTGGGAAAAAACAGTAACGTATTTTCGCGCAGATGCTTTCGCGTATTATCAAAGCAACTTATATATACTTTGTCTCATTATACAGTTGAAGGATGCGCACAGCTATGGCACGTAGTTGTAACTACTATTATCTAGCATTTTAGGGAAGCTCGCAACGTTTGTTAAGAGGAATAGTTTTTTTTTTTTTCGAGTAAAAAGGCCCACTATTTTACTCGGATACATCTTGTTACCGCAGAAGCTATAAAAACGAGATCTGCTAGAACAAACTGACGCTATTTGTATCGAAATTCTTTCCATCCTATAATAGATATGAAAGAATGGCTGCAAAGAAGTCGAAGATGAGTAGGAAATAAAAGAAGAACGATCGTAGTCGATGTAAAACAGGGCAAAACACGATCGCTGTATTGCTGAGCGCCTCTGTCCCAGAATTTGCCCCTCTTCCCATTTTTTGTGCTAATCTTCTATTTCAATAAATGAGCGTTTCATTTTAGCATATGCGAATTACGAAGCGCTTCAAGAGAGCCCCTCGAATCTCTCTAGTAATGCACTATCTCAGTTCGGCGGTTTCTCTGGGATTTCCCGTTGGCCCTGACAACGCCGTACCTAAAAGGTCAACGTGCGATCTATATGCCTATGGAAGCGCCAATAGTGAAAAAGCGGGCGTATAGAACGCTGGGAAGATCAAGGATGAGGAAAACTACCGCCATACATTTAGTGACTCTGGTACACAGAGTTTCATAACATCCCTGAGAGGGTAATCGGGGACCGGGAGACGTTGTTGAAGACGGGAAAGGCTGCTATCATATGTATAATAGCAGTTTTGTTAAGCACTGCAATTGCACAAATAGCTGAGTGACTGATCGATCGTAATGAGTAAGTAGTTACAAGCAGAAAACGGGGAAACTGGAGAAATCACGTAAAATTTATCTCATTTTATAGATATACACACGTCTGTCTACATCTGATCCCCGTGTAATTGTTCTATTGAAAAAATACCGATCACATAATTTCTACATGTGTTAGATGTAGGTTATTGAACAGGAGTAAATCGGACTTTGTAGATGATATGCATTTCCATTAGAATTCATCAGCGACGGAAAGTATTTGCCGTATAACATCTTCTAGCCGTCTAGTTACTCTAGCTAGCCTAGTTTTTGGTAATTCGTACAGAAAATTAACAGGTCCTTATTTATTTAATTTTATTTAACATTTTGTTGTTAGTGTATCGATAGCTATCTACCACATACGAAAACAGTTTTTGGAGCGTTATGATCGAGCTCGAAGCTAGATTTCGCTGTTAACTTGTAAGTGAAAATTAGTTTAGTGTTAGTTTAGTGAACGTAGTTGAAGTTCGAGATATTTATTGTTTAGAACAAAAAAAAAAAAAAAAAAAAAAAAGCTAGTTTCAGTCCCAAGGAAAAGCCGGACGTTGCTACGATCAATGTCTAAGTAGACGCATGATCATCGCGTACCTTCCGATATGATCTACAGACCCTCGACGAACGTAATAAATTGAATACATTTTAACATTTAATATTCGTACCGTATATACGAAACCCAATATTCGATTACTACGCCAGATCGTGGAAATATTAAAAAAAAAAAAATTAAAAGAATATATATATAACTTTCGACAATCATAGTAGTATATAATTGTTTTTGTATGTAAATGAAGTGCCTAATAAGGAGTGGTGATTTCGTTTATAAATCTGTTCAATTTCAACAGGCAAATTATGTTTCATTAGATTAACAGAAGTTTATATAGAGTATGATTGGTGCAGGTCTCTGACATGCCTAACACTGTAAGGAAATTCATTATTTCATGTAGCCAAATCTACAATAAAGTGTGAGAATTTAGTACTTGTAACGTATTCATTGATGCTACTCTGTAGAACACGACATGTAGGTATTATAGGCTTACATGTTTGAATGACGTATATCAGGACGGTTTCATCAAATAAAGACTTGATTATATAGAGATAATAATGAATATATTATCTGAGAAAAAAATCTTAGTCTTTATTAATACTATGTACCGTTAATGATACTTAACCTGAATTTTGTGTCGATTCCTGTATAGATGAACATCAAGAGGCGTAAGAGTCCCATTTGTAATTTTCTGAGAATAGGACCTGGGCTTGCTAATGGCGCACGTTCAATGGGGGTCAGATTCCTACGTTTAACTCTAGTGAATAATTTCGACAAGTTCATGCAGTAGCGTTTTATTGTGCTATATTAAGTACTTTTTTTCGAAGTTGAATGAGCGTGTTATGACAACCACTGTTTTGCCTTTGCGATAACGTAGGAAACAATCTGCAACGACCTTTTCCGCTTAATCCCACGAAATCCCGCATAGAGCTGGGACAGCGACCTCTGTGGTTGTTAATTAAATAGAGAGCACGATCTTCAATTTGGTACATTTCAAATTTATTTGTAGATTAAATAGACGTCTAAATACGGCTTTATCGACGACCGCAGGCCGCGACGACCGCACCATTCTATTAGGACGACAAAGTTGGCCCGACCTGTGCAGCGAACGTAAAGGTCAACTTCGCTGTTTGCGTACGCGTTTTGAAGGGTGCTAGAGTAAATTTGATTTGCAATTATAGGTAATAGAAGCTTTTGGGCTATGATTAGAACTTTGTTGCCAACTTCCGTGGATTTTCGATAATTTAGCTAAAGGCGCACCTGTCATTGCAACTCATCGGTGAACTTTTCTACAGCCTTTGAGTCTGAGTAGTACTCTCAGTAGTGCCTTAGAAGAAGTCATGAATCTTTTCTTGAAAGCTTATAACTGCTACCTGAAATGTTCTATGCATGAATAAGTAATCCTTCCTGGAATTTTGGCTACAAGCATGACTGAACCGGCATCCTTTAGGCTTGTAGCTGCTGTTTCGCGCGGTATCAGTCCCTACGGAGGATGTCCTCTAGATTATCGTCGGAGAAATTTAGTTTCACCAATTCGATAATTACAAGGGATACTCCTATACCCAAATGCGATACCCTAACGCATAGAGAGCACGAGCAAGACGATTTAAAGCCAAAGAAAAGCTGGCGTCGACAGGCTAATGCAGATAGCGATCCGTCTGAGCGTAACGTAAGCTGTTGCCAAAATCAATTTGTCTACACATTTTTTCTATCTATAGTAAACTGAATCCCTTCCTTTGTTCTGACAACTCAGATCTGACTTAAATCTCAATTTCGATCTCAGCGACGACAAGAAATTTCGAATGAACTTTCACATTTAAGCTTATCTCTGCCGTTGCGGATTATGGCAGTCTTATACATCGTCCAAAAAAGGTAAACCTACCGGCGCGAAAGAAAGGTGCGTGGAAGCCGCAAATGAGCATACGGACGCAGACTCGACGCGAGATCGCTACCGCGTAGCGATTATTGAAACAGTCATCATTGGCGTTGTTGTATTGTTTTGTCTGACCGGCCTGCTTTCATCCGTCTATATGTTCGCGGTGAGGTTTGTGCTGTTCTGTCGCGTACACTTCCAATTTTTTAGACGGTAAAAGTAACTGTAATCGTCGATGATAAGCAGTAATCATGTAATGGTTTACGTTTCTTTCAAACAGTTACAGTAAACAACCTTACATCGTCTGAGATATCAGTGCTTCTGTTCTAATCTAATTTTTGGCTTGTTAAAAGTCTAATGCTAGTAGAGCGCTGCAGATTGAAGTCATGAGGGGCACACGACTAATAATCTTTATATCTGGGAATAAACACGGTTGGGTCTGCTTTTCCATAATTTCTGATGCAAAGTTCCTTTGTTTTGCGGTCAACAAGTCGTTCATAAGGCTTTTAAAATATCTTTTACTAAAATTGTTATGTTATTGGAGATCGAAAGTTTCCTCGAAACTAACCAGAAGAATATAGCAATAAACATAAACTAGCCCGTACGAACGCTTTTAAAAGAAGTATAGAACCTCGTACAACATTAAACGTATTGATCGAATTTTTCTCTTGGAAGGTAACATTGACGAGTTTCAACATCTGTTTTCAACTTTTACTACTATTGTTGTAATTTGTTAAATGACAGACCACCGATAGCCAAATTGGACTCTACATATTACGGAGAGACGCCTGAACATGCTTGGAGAAAATATGAAGAGCAGAAACGAGTCGAGGCTGGCGACCTCTGCCAGAATTTTCCCGGACCATATAAAAGATTCATACGTTTTATCAAGAGGCCCTATCAGGTAAGCACAGCAAACTATCTGTTCAGCGCAAGACTATCATTGATTAAAATAGAACCTACCTTGACATGGCAAAAGTTATAACATTATGTACACATATGGTGGCAATGTTGGTAGTAGATGGAAGGTAATCTGCAATGCCTAACACAGGTAATCGGTGAGCCGTGCGAAAATTATTACGAGCTTGTGTGCAGCGGTGTTTGCCATATTGTTCCACCAGGGTTATGCTTCAAGGAAGTCGCCCAAAGATTCATGTCAAATTGTTATGAAGACCAGCTTGATTCCGATACGCTCGAATTATGGGCGGATCTCGACGTGTTCTATAGGCAAGCGAATATACCGGTACGTTTCGCTCGATTTTTCAACTCCTGATAAATGACTAATTGAGTAGCGTACGCTGTTCTGCTCGGCTAGGGCGGCCACTGACCTAGCACCTATTTTGCGTTGCCTGATCGATTTGACAAATGGCCTAGTTAATAAAATTAGCACTTGATTCGAGTGCATAACAGGGCCACACATCGCAATATTATACGTGTTTGTTTTCTGCCATGTGCATGGGCTTGCGCCCAGCTTTGAACTAAAGCCAAAGTGATCTTTTTCAAAGAGTTGCAATGACGAAAAGTTTTGGGCGTTCTCATGACTGACCCACGTTAACGGTACCTTTTGCGGGCAGAAAGCCGTGCCGTCGCCTTGCAGCAGAGAGATTGCAAGGGCCTACTCGAAGGAGTTCTCCGTAGTCCACGGGGGAAACAAAACCATCAAAAGACTACTGCTTGATCGGGTTATTTTTTACATCACATATCTCAAGTACGTTTCACAATCTATTCAAGTTAGCTAGATAATCTCAAAGTAGCAGTTCGAACTGGTGCAGTTGTTGTGCAATACAATGCGCCTTTGTACTTCTGTTTTTCTTGCCGTAGGTTTTTATTTTTGAAGTAGATGAAAAATTATCCGTAGGCTGTCCATATATATGTAGTCTCTGTAGCCTATTGTCGCAAAGTAGGAGCGCTCTGGTAAAAAAAGCTTAGGTTGCTTTCGGCTGAGTGATACGTACTTTTTTGACACTACATGTATTACTACAGTAAATGGCTGATGACAAGCTTTCACTCACCTAGAGAGCTCATACGATAGCGAACAGGTGTCATCACTCCCCACAAAAATGCCAGGCTTATTCGTCCTATTTTTTCTTTCTTTAATTGCGGATGGTCAAGGCTGCATTTGATCCTAACGAAATCATAATGAAAAATTAACAGCTCTTCGTGTTGTAGTCATGATTTTTCTTTGAAAAAAAATATTGTTTTAGTTTCAGAAAGAAGGAAAACTATATTATGTTATTTTTTAATCTAAGTATGTTGTTTTTTTTTCATACCTTGAACAATATATTTTGTATAATGAAACACGCTGACTACATTGTTTCATTCTACTTGTGTTCACTATCAATTCATTTTTGTAGCTTGATTTAATTTGGGTAATCGCACCTTGGGGTAGTACATGTATCGGATGAAGGATTTGTGCCCTGCACGTTGACTGGTCTTGCACAACAGGCTTTTTGTCATTAATTTTGTTATTGTTGTTGTTGTTGTTGACGATGATTACCATTTTTATGATGGTCGCTGGATTACTGGTTTAGCTCAAAGGGCGTTTGTGCGGAAGAGCGGTTAATGCTACATGAAACCTTTTGTTTGGCGCACTGCTGCTACAAACCTGATGGGGACATATCGGTAAGCGCTCGCGTTTGATAAATCCCGTTAAAACCGAGCTTATAGCTAGAAAGGACATCGAATGTTACAAAATAGACAGTAGTCTAGCAATCGTAATGTGCTTTGATTCTTGTTTGGAACCTTTGACCATTATTATTTGATTACTAAATAATCTACACCAATATTAAACAAATATTTATTGTGTAGAACAAGTTTCGAATGAGAATTAATAATTGTTGGCCTTTTGTTGTGTTGCTCACTACTCTACTGTGTAGGTTGAGATCGGTCGACTCATGTGCCAGGCCACCGTAGGCTGGCGGGATGACTTCACGAACTATTTTCGTTGTAGGCAGAATCGTCGTTTAATCGAGGCTTGCTGGGGAAACTACATAGAGCCAGCCACATGCAGGCCTCGTTAAGTGTATTCTATCGTGACGATGTTTCATATCGAATTTATGCTCATAATAATATTGCGTGTCTAAATGTTTTTAAAAGCTCGTATGATTTCATATCGACAGTGATAGCAATAGGGTGTACTCAGTAAGCTGACCATATTCTCCCTTTAGGTACTGGGTTCATGGCGTCAATGCGCAGTACAAACATGTTTAACCAACATAATGAAAACTGTATTAGTCCTAACAATTAGTCCTAATTAGAACACGAATATTAGTCCTATTTAGCCTGCAACTAGGATGAAAAAGCCACAAGAATTTTCGTCCCGGCTCTAGTTCCAAGAAGCAACAAGTAGGGAACCTATTAAGGGATAATACCCATGGAGTACCATCGAACAGCTCGTTTCGTTCATAGTGCATACTTTATTACCTGGGGGGTTAAGAACCAGGATACTAGTGGTGGCAAATGCAGTCATGGAAAGAAAGACCATTTGTTTGGACAAAATATTTTTTGTGCTTGTTTTAGAGCAGTTCATGCTGCCTAACCTCATCGGTAGTTTGTGTATGGTGGAGAATTCTAGCCTTTGGCTTTGGCTTTGGGTTTGCTCTCTTAGACCCTGTTTAGAAGCAGATTGTTTCACAAACGGATTTAATGAAAAGCTTATGGCAGACAGTCTGTGATGTTTCGTATAGTACTTCTGACATTACGTCAGCAATGTCTGAACCGAGAGTGCAGCAGTTTCCACTGGCACGGCCTTGGACATTTTTAAGGTCGGTTTCAGCTAAACATACTTCGTAGTAATTGATATCGCTGAAATGGTAAATACATTCACCTGTGGGGCTTCGTGTTTCTACTGGAAAAATGTCTTAGGCGATTTTCACTGTCAGCCTAAGCCGCACTGAGTGGTTGATGGTAACTGAGCAAGGCTTCATAAGGGGGAAAATGAAATTAAGTTTACTACGGGATTATGTTAAAAAAATTCAAAATTTGAACAGCAGGAAAGTTCTTCAAAGCATCAACTGTTTTATCTAACTTTACCCGATCGTTTGCCAGCTTTCCGAGAGCTTTCGTAGCTTGACAATGCGTATTATATTCGAAGCCACATTCATCGAACAGATGTACTATACATATTGTGCGACGTTACTGGTTAACATGCGTTTGTATACATAATGGCAGACCTGTAGAGCATAAATCTCATTGAGCTGACGGGTTTCACGGCAAATCTATCTTAGCACGTCTCAAAGTTTATTTAAGGACTAAGCTGGTAGTCAGTTCGAAATACTGTACAAGTAACTGGAACTCGGCTTCTGTTGTTGTTGTTGTTGTTGTTGTTGTCGTTGCCATGATATTGCTGCTTATTCGGGTTTTCTTCTGCATTAAAGGGATGCTAGTTGTGGCAACTGTAGCTTATTGATTCTCACTAGCGAAACCGAAATTTATTAGTGGCTTCAGAGTAGTGCCTACTTCTGCTCGAAGCTTTTGATGTCATCACCGCTGTTATTGACTGTTATATTTACCTGATTTTGCTGTTGCGTCGAACTCATTCCTGCTGTTCTGTTGCCGCCCCCACTGCCATCTCAGCGCTCGTCTTCTCCTAAATTGAACCGCACCTGAGAGAGGCTTTGCGGGTCCGTTCTTGTCTATTATGTAACGCGATAAACAACTGACGAACATGTTTTCCTCCTCGAAACGGTTGATAGTTATCACTTTACGCTGCCCGTTAATGGGTTTTTCGTCGTCATACGTGTACGCCTTGCACCGATAGCTAACAACTGCAGTGGTATGAGAAGCTCGGACGTCGACTACTCTTTATGAAAGCCCTTGTACGAGATTCAGCATTGCCAGCAAGGGAGTGCTTTTGCGCTTACTTTCTTGATGATACGCTAAGCAAATAAAAGCTCCCACAGAAGAACGTTTCTATACGTCCAATGAGTTGCGATTATCAACAGTTAGTCCAATGACCAAGCGTTGCTTAGGGATAGAAGTGAAAGTACAAAGTAAACTGCGAGTATGATATTTGGATGCGAAAAGATGCCCGATGCCCCAAACGGCAACGACCGCTGCACGAATTGTAGCGAGGTATGTTTTTACATGCAATTAGCGGTGCTAACAAGAATACCACTGCGTAATTGTAAGACATAATGGCAGGGAGTATAGCGCAGCTGTCTCGAAGTCTGTGGACATACTACAAAAGATGAAATGGAGTTTTCACCTTTTATGTGTCTGACAACGCCCGCCATATCAAGCGTTTGCTGGGAATTCTGCCCTTTTTTTTTCTCTGTAGAAACACGCGCAGAAGGCTAAAAGTACTTCTAAAACGCCACATCGCTATTACAAACAAGTGAGTCTTCGTGTCGTGATCAGTCGGTTGGAACGTGTCTATCTACGAATCAGAGGGACACGTGTGAGGCGTATGTTACAAGCCGGGAGCAGACATAATTCATTTCGTGCTGGAAATAACTGATCAGCCGCCGTCTGATCTAGCACCTAGCAACGGTTTGAAGCGTAAAACCAGAAGCGTCCATTTGTAGAATGGAATAAGCGGGGCAAAACTATGTGGCTTGTTGTCGTGTGTTGCCGCGCCGTTGGTAAGCAAGACATTCCGTTTCTAAATGTATTGCCCCTGGTGGCCTCACGCCTTCTTGTTGCATATAATGCCGGCGTTGCTCTCAGCGCTACGCGGATGAGGCACGCACTACCCGAGGAAATAGCATTCTTTTTCCACTGAAGGAGAGTCGTGGAGCAACTCTCCGTAGTTAGTCGATCCTGGAACCACTAATCGAATGCAGGTATCACAGTGGTCATTTCATTGAACTCCTGAAAGCTGTTGCCCGTTGTTTGCTGAAACCGTCCTGGATGAAGACGTGTAGTATCGCCGCCGGCCAAAGATGACCTTCGCAAAGGGTCGGTGTTAGTCTTTATCGTCGTCGTCATTACGATATAGTATGCTCTGAACGAACGGACCGACAGCAGATTCAAATCACCACCGATAAATTACGAAACGCGTTTCTACAACAGCATCATTTATTTGAAACTTTTATTATTATCCGCGTGCGCGTCAGGCAATAACAGTACAAGCGCTATGACATCATCGTCCTTTATTGTTTGGCTTCATAACATGTGCGCATTGTCGAAATATACGAAAATATGAGGGCTAGAGTAATTAAAGACATGGTAACGACACAGGTTGTTCGAATCTAATGTGTTGTTGCAGTTATGTCGCATACTCGAAAGATTAATGTCCGCGGCCATTTCAATGCAGAGAAATAACACTTTTGCATTGAGTCCATCTCTATAGAAAATATAATCTAAAACAGAAGTAGGTCGTTTTGTTTGTATTTCACTAACGACAAAATAACATCTACGAAATAGTCAATTAACAAACGCTCCGAAATTGTTGCCCCTTAGATTTGCAGCCAGCCAGCCAGTCAGAAGGGCGAATAGAGGAATCAAACACGTAAAAACAGCCTGGCGCCTGAAGCCTGGCGCTGTTACAGTTAAAATTTATACGAATTAGCGGAATCATGCTTAGCAATATGTATGTGTTAAACAAACATAATAGGTATACCTAAAACAAATGATTATAGAAAAAAAAAAAAATAATGGAAGATGTCACGGCTGCGTTAACTAACACTTGCGGACAACGATGAAGCTCTTTGTTGTCTCTTCATTATTAAAGCAATATTACACTGGCAGCCTCCTCGCTGGTTCTTCGGAAACGTTTTTCCCGCTTAGCGCCCGATTGTAGGTTTTCGAGTGAGATCCCGTTCGTTAACACATATTGTGTCACAATAGTAATAGATATATTTAGAATAGAAGTAATACTTACTATTACTTCCGACGAGTTCACTTTCAATGGTCATAAGCGTCGCAGCTATCCGGGATACTGTGCAAATGTAACAGCTTCGAATGACATTACTCGTCGTGAAAGATTAATCTACTTTTACTAAGTGAGGTTCTAAAAAATCAAAACTTTATCGCAGTTACGTGGAGAATCACTTACTATTAGTACCATATTATAATGTCAACATCCTATTAAAACCGGTCTAGGTAACGTTAATGGTGGGCAATATGAGTTGAAACGGCTTTCATCAGTGCCCGGTTTGTGGTCTGAAGTCACACTAATTTTAATAAGTGGATGGAGATCTACTGCTGCTAATCGAAATTTAAGAAGATCGAACCGAACAAACAAAGCGGGCGATTCATATACGAACGACTACTCTCGAAAACCCGTTGAGCCTTCCATGTAAACCTGTTACGACGACGAGCTTTAAATGTTGTCGGTTTTTTTTTTCAGAAAACCCATTTTTCTTTGCTTTTTAATCCTTAGCCAACTCTTAGTGCTTCATAGCTTACGGCTCTGAAGTCTGAAGCTATGAGGCACTCCTTGCCAAAAGTCGACCAACGAATACTGTTGAAGTTTTCTGTACGGCCGTTCTTTCTTGGTATATTGATTATTCTACGGTTCCGCTTTTTGTAGAAATAGAATCTGTTCACTTTTCTATCAAAGAGGATACATTACTGTGTCGGAAAACGAAGTATCAGGTCCAAGATGAAAATAGTAACGTCTCTCAAAGGCAGTAATTCTTGTTTAGACTATGCGTAATAACAATTTTCAGATATCGCGAATCGTAGTAGAAGTAACCTTTAAAGTATACACTTAAGTGCACCTCGTTGACCTTATCAGACGGTTGAACGAGAAAGCATTATCCCGACACTTTCTCTTTAAAGCCAATATTTTATAAGTCCACAAAGCGGGTCTTCTTAAAAGCTTGTTGTACGCTAACGGAAGTTAGTCGCCGTCAATGAAACACCGCAATTTGAACCGGTAATCGACTACCATTCGTTGCGCTTCTTAGCTAACAAGAATCACTGCGTGTGGTGGCCCATCACATCGCCTGCAGCCATAAACGTCCGATGTCGTCCATAACAACAGTAACAACAAGAAGAAATACATACCCCAACCATTCAACCACCTAACATGGTCGCTGCTGCCGCCGCCGCCGCTGCTGCTGCTGCGTCAAATCAACGCCAGGATCACGGCGGGAGGTATCGTGTATCTTT